GCTTGGGCAGCCTGGGGTTGGAAGATCTCTGGACTTGAAGTGTTAATTCTTGCCTGTGCCTCTTTGAATAAACCAGCACGGTTATATTTTTATATAATCAAGTGGTCTGAGTCGTCCCTCTGAGTTCCTGGTTTGAAAGAACCGGACGAGGCTTCATAATGGAATAGAGCCTTTAGGAGCGTGAAGCTACCGATAATGTCATGGGTGAACTCAAATAGCCAGACGAGGATAAGTAAAGAAACAGTCACTTTAATAAGAGAACTGACAACGAACAAAAAAATGATACAAGACACGGTTTAACCACGAAATGCACTTACAGGTCTATACAGTCCATGGTTAGAACCAGCAAACACATACATCCAAGGAATCCAAAACGCTTTGTCCAAAAGGGAAGTCCGATAAGCCGATATACAGAGAAGCAGTCCGAGTTAGAAGGGCAAGGCAATACACGGTGGCCAAAAACAGAAATCCAGGGTCAGAAACTAGACAGTCAGGCAAGGATTAATGTTGGAGAGTCAGAGCTGGAGTCTAGAACACTCTGGCAGGTTACTGGTGGGGGAAGGCTGCTTATAACGGGGTGAAAAACAGGTGTGATTAATGAGGAGCAGGTGAAACTATTGTGAGTGATGATTAAAGTAAAAAGTCCAAAACTGTGGTGAAACAAAAACAGGAAGTAATGTCAAAATAAAAGCATGACAGGAAGCAAACAGAACCGAATCATGACATCAGAGGGACAGCTCAGGTCGGCTGTGTCGGGGACAAGGTCAGAGAGGCCAGATTGAGATGGTTTGGACATGTGCAGAGGAGGGATAGTGGTTATATTGGTAGAAGGATGGTGGAGATGGAGCTGCCAGGCAAGAGGTCAAGAAGAAGGCCAAAGAAGGGATTTATGGATGTGCTAAAAGAGGACATGAAGTTAATTGGGGTGAGAGTAGAGGATGCCGAGGATAGAGTTAGGTGGAAACAGATGATTCGCTGTGGCGACCCCTAACGAGAACAGCCAAAAGAAGAAGAAGTAATTAATTGTTTTTACAATTATAATCACTGCTATGGCAATTTGACCATTTCAAAAACATTATTACAAACAGTCTGTAAACATTAAGCACACTCTTTTTGCTACAACCACAGTGAAAATCAAAATGCAGGCTAAACAAAAGAGGCTACAACTGCATAAAACTGAAAAGCTTAAGATTTCAGATAGATTACACCATCTTGGAAGTGATGAATGAAGTAGGTACTGTATGTTAAATCGTTTAATAATATAGGATATTACTTTGCAAATGTCATTTTGTAAATGTAGCACTTATCTGATAGGCCATTATGAACAGGTTGGCAACAGCTACTGGTATTTGGTCATTACAAAAAGAATGTGTCATATATGCTCAGAATGTGCATTTGTCAAAATATATAGACTATTAATTTATGTTAAAGTTTGCAGGGTCATATCTATGAATACATCTAAATATATACTGTAAACTCTTTTATATTCTAAATTTATTGGTTAGTATTTATATTTTTCCCTTAGAGTGACAAGATACAAGTAGATATATTACTGAGGCTTTCTCAAATAAATAAAAATAAATATTGCATTGTTTATTAGATCATTCTTTAAAGATTAATATACGGTAGGGTATATCTTTCATAAAAGCTATTTATTTAAATTTTTCTACAGGGATTCATGTATGTTTTTCACCACAAGGAGACACTGTTCATTACTTCAAAACAGTGCGGGGGAGAGATGTCTATGAACCTGCAGGCACCATTCACAGGCCATCCTGTTCCTGTCTAGTTTATCAAATCCAAAATATAAGATAATGTGATGAAATGTGACAAATACTGAGTCACTTCTTTGCTTCCTTAGAAGTATGACAGAAAATGTTTATATTGCAATCTTAGTTTTGCTGTCCTCTATCTAAAAATACTGTGGAGACAGTTAACAGTGTGTCAAAGTCCTTCCTTTTTACACATACTCTCTGCTATGTGTGCATGTAAATCTTATGTTTGACCTCATGGGACAATCTAAGTTAAGGGTCAGTGAGAAAAAATTATGCTTTTTCTAGTTTCTCATCAAGGTGACAAAAAGAATATCATCCAGTACTGGCAAGACTGCAGTTTTAGGCTATAGGCATCAGCAGTTACTTCTGGGAATGTGTTGTTTACTGCTTCATACAGTAATCACACATTTCACATAAACATTGATAGTTTTTTCTAGCTATAATCATTCATCCAGTTCACACTGGCCATTTAGAGGTACATTCCAAATATGTCTTTATAGTGTGAAATTCCTGCATTGTGATACTATCCCTTCATTGCAGCTAAACTGGGAAACACTGTCAGGGAAAACACAAAGACTCACATATAAGGACTTCATTTGACTGTGGAACTCTACATGATCTTTTTCTAAACATTTGAATACATTTTTAAATAGGACCGTGCAGTTGGTCCTTCATCATTTATACCATAAAAGCACATGAGGAAATTATATTTGAGTTGCCATATGGGCACCTGACTGTTGTTTTAAGACACACTTAAAAATTGTGAACCTAGGTGTCAGTAGTCCAAGATAGGGGATGATACAGTTGAAGAAAGGGAGCAATTACTAAAGCATCAAGAAAAGCTCACACATAATAAACACATGCAACACATACACAGTATATTCACAGTTCTGGATAAGGCACTCTGACCTAATGTATAACCTCACCATACAAACACACACCCATCTATGAAACATCTCACATATAACGTTTCAGTGATCAGGTATAAATGTCAAAGTGGGTGAAATCCCCACATGGCAGCACCGCACACAGAGCGCTTTGTAACCTAACAGATGATCAAGTTTCAAGTAGTTTCAAAAAAAAGAAGGCAGAGTTTCACAAGAAAACTCATCAATCCTCCAAGCTGACATCTAAACTTCTTATGCCCAGGTCTCAGGTGAAGAACATACACTGCTGACATGATTCTTATTTTGTTGTTTAACTGTGGTCTTTTTGTTTCTGCCTTACATAAGGACATGTACATACACATTGACAGCTGCTGTACCAGAGCCAAATTCCTTGTGTGTCCAACACACCTGGCCAATAAAGCTGAGTCTGATTCTGTTGCCAACATCTGACCTGGTCACAGTCACCTGGAATGACAGCATAACAGCTTTTATTCACAGCTGTTTTGTTCTTTTTGTGCCATTACTCACTGCTTTCATACTTTCTCAAACCTTAAATGTGTTTATTGTAGCATTACTTTAATTCCTGTGCAGTAGGTTCTGTGCACCATGCAGGGGCCATATTCTACAGCCATGGACAGATTATAAGAGAGCCCATTCCTGCACACTTACATCTAGAAGGCCCCTGTGTCTCACACACCTGACACCCAGGTTAAGCTATCTGTTTTAAGTTAAGTATCTCTTTTACTCTCTTTGTGCCATTTTATGCCTCCTTGTGGTAGTTTTCTGTCTCTCTGTAGTCATTTTGTTGTCCTTTTGCATCTTATTGTAGCTGTTTTCTGCCTCCTTGTGGTAGTTTTACATCTCTGAAGTGTGCTCATTGTGATTGTTTTTGAGTAGCTCTTTTGTGTCACTGGTCTGTTATGTGTTTTAGTTCTCATATGATTGACTTTGTGTAACAATAAGTTTTAGAGTGCCTTCATAAAAAAGTTTGTAGAGTAACTCTGATAGGGGAGCACAAGGTCCGGCAAACCAGTGCCAACCGTGTGGGCCAGCCTCTCTACATAAAGACATTGAAACACAAAACTTACACACACAAAAGGCTGTTATCTGATACAATACTTCAGAATCACAGTGGTTTCTTCCGTTTTAGTGCAGTCATATGTTTCAGCGTTTCTCCCTCCTTTTTTTCTTCCTCGAGTATCAGTCAAAGTTTCTGTTTGACATAAAATCTCTCTAAAGCAACAGGGACACCTACAGTATTGCACTGGTTTATTTATTTACTAAAGCTACATTACATTATTATGTTTACAGTGAAATTATTATGCATATATGCTACATACAGTACTGTTGTAAGATCAAGACATTCTGTGAGAAGCATTTGTATACTGTACAGTGAAGACACATTTCAAATAATTAATTACCTTCCAAAAATCACTTCAGTCATTATTAAAGGAAATAATTTCTTATTTGCCTTCATGCCAAGTTAGATGAGAAGACTGATGCTACTCTCATGCCTGTGTACCAAACATGGTTAGCTCAGCTTAGTATAAAGACTTTTTAAAACAGTTTTTTTACATTTATGTATGAATTAAACAAGCCACATGTATGTTAAAACTACAGTATGTAACATTTCACAAATATTTTTGTTGTAGAAATATGCTTTAAAACTTGTCTTAATCTGAAAAAAAAAATTTGAAAGAATCAACTGGACTAGGTTTCTAGGTCGAAGACGTTTCACCTCCCATCCAAGAGAACTGACGAAGCCTCTTGGATGAGAGGTGAAATGTCTTCGACCTAGAAACCTAGTCCAGTTGATTTTTCAAACTTTTTTGTCAGCTTACTATGACCTGGGTGACTGAGAATCTGCACAGACAACTTGTCTTAATGCGGAGAGGTGCAGTCAACACCTCCTGTGATCCAAATTCATTGAATAGCAATGGCAGCAGTGCAGAGATATTAGCCTGCAGAAAGTTTTGAGTTGGACTAACCTCTCTAACCAATCAGAGATTTCCAATTCTTTCTGCCTGATCAGGAGGTTTTGTTGCATTCTCATTTATTGTAATGTCACAGCAACAAATACCTGAAGAGCTGGGCAGAGCGTGTTGGAGCATAGTAGAGCACAGTGGAGCAGGGAGAGGGAGTGTTGGGTGGGGCAGAGTGGACTGATTTGAGGTTTCATGCTACGCTACCTTAAGTTTCATACTGTAGCTTTAATTTGCATGATATTTCACAGTCATAACATAATCTACAGGTATTTCTTCTGACATTTACTGTATTATTAAACTGATTATTGAAACATTTCAGAAAATGACTGGATAATGACTACAGTATGAATTTCTTCACTTTCCATGACTAGTATGCATATAATACATACAGAAATATATCATGTTGCTAGAAAGGACAAATAAATTTTAGACTGAGCTTTAGTTTAGTCTTCCATTGCATTTGAGTATTTTTTGGCAAGTCTGAGGCATTAAAACACCAGTTAAGAAAGATGTAAAACAAACGTTTCACCAAACAAAAATTTCACCAGCGGGCACTTTGGCTCTAAGCATCATTACTCCTCCATCTCTGCACACACTTTGGCTTATTTCTTGCGCTCCTCAATCTGTTCCACCTCACTGGACTCATCTACAACCTTTCCATTGATCATGGTCTGGGTAACAACTTTTACAATCTTCCTGGTCCTTACTTCAGGTTCTTCTGTAACACAGAGTTAACCAGGGTTAGTCACAAAAAATACTGAATGGCATGGATCTTTGTTTCTACTGGAGCAGCACTGAAAAGTGTTATGAAGCTGGGCAGAACTTTACCAGTCATTACCCTCAAATGTAATCCAGTGTACAATTGGTGAACTGCACATAGAACACTTGTGTGTACCAATATTATGTCAAAAAAATACAAGAGACAATATATTCAGCGTCATCAAGCCAATCAGTTTGAACAATCATTTGTTTGGTGATGTTTTAGTCCACACATTTATCAGATCCTGTGTGCAAATATAATGTCATCTGGAGGTCCAGGGCCACTTTGCCCTGTTGTCCATTCTTAACAGCATCAAATGTGATGATGTGTGATGCAGGAGGACAGAAATGGCAGGACAAACCATCGCTGATCCATTAATAAGTTGTTTTGTGATATTCTACATGCGTTCAGTGTGAAAAATCACATGAAACATCATTGTAGCTGGGTGTATTTGACCCTTAGTAAAGAAAATAACTTGAACTTACTTTTAGGAGGTGGAGGTGTTTCTTTCACCCTGTGGGACATCAAAATATCAAATCTTAATCTGAGTAACTGAAGCACAATTCATGTTCACAATTCACCAGCTTTAGTTTTTATACAGATTAAAAAACAATATATAACATTTTAATTTGTGAGCTATAAAGGTGTGCCAAATTAATTCTTTCCCCTGTTTTGTCTTTTTGCTAAGCTTAGCTACGCCAGCTGAGTGTGGAATGTAGCCTTGTGATTACAAAAGCCACAAACTACATGTACTCACGTAGCACAAAGTAAGACTGGTCTTAAAGCTGTTGTAAGCTAATAATGCTTGAAAAACTGTCAATAGGTTGTCAAGTGTAATGTACTACATCTTTATTGTTACAAGAATTTTAAACATGTAGCTATAGAACTGTATGTAGTTATGAGAGAAGGCTGTAGTTTCCCAGCCTTCACTTACATTTCCTCTCCTTCCAGCAGCCTCCTGTACGTGGCTATCTCCATCTCCAGGTTCTGTTTGATGCGCAGCAGCTGTTCATAGTCAGTCTTGTTGCGTTGCATGTCCAAACGTAACTGAGACAGTTCATCCTCCAGGTGGGTCAGCGTGGTCTGAAGACGGTCCATCTCCACAGAGTACTTGTGCCCTGTTTCACCCAGGTTTCCTTCCAATACACTAACCTGAAAACAACACATAACTGACATGATGGAGCAGCGGTAGCTATGTAGTCATATAAACAGTGATGCATCAGATTTATTTTATTTGTTATTTACACACCAGAATGAAAAGTTCAGACTGATACAAGCCCCTTCAAATGAATTAGCAACATTAAAAAGGTAAACACTAATGTGACTGAAATGTTTTTGGCTGTCACTACTCTCATTCAGTACACATTTGATGTACATTTGTACCATCCAAAATTTCTTTGTATATTTAACTGTTGAGTCCATTCATTCATAACCCCTCACCACTCAACCAGAGATACTAGAGACTATCAACGCAATAATATTGCTGCATTCAGTACTGTGTGCCTGCCGTCAGGCCGGGCAAACATCGGCAAGCTATCATTGTACTCACTATACACCACTGATTTGCGCTCACGTGTAGCAGAGTCACAGACAAAACATTTGCTTGTTTGACTATGTCTTGTCACACTAATTATTAGAACAGAATGAAACTGCTATGTACACTTTATCACAGCAGTAGCTCCCTGTTGACAAAAAGAAAGCAGCTGTTATTCTCTAGATAGGTCTAAAGTGTGCAGAAGAGAAGAAAGACAGGAGCCATAAAGACAGCTTTTGTCACATATGCAATAAACCTGACAACAGTTAGAAGCAATACATACAGACCATACCCCTGCACCATGTATTGAAACAGTACCGCACCTGTTTGCGAAGACTGTCGAGCTCAACCTCCAGAGCCTGTAGGAAACGTCGTCTCTCACTGAGCTCAGCTTGGGCACAGTGCAAAGCCTCATTGCTTTCTTTGACTTCTGACTGCACTGCTTCTAACTGTAAACACACAATTCAAAATTATATATAGGATGTAGTTCTATATATAGTTATATATAGAATAATGTACAGTATGTAGTTCATAATACCACAGGAAAAAAACAAAAACAAAAGACAAGTATCAATACCAGAAAAATACAGATTACATTGACTGACCTTCTTGAGGTACCAGGCATCGGCCTCCTCCTTGTTCTTGCGAGCGATACCCTCATACTGGACCCTCAGCTCAGCTATTATGGCCCCTAGATCAGGACCCTGAGCTGCATCCACCTCCACATTCACCTGCTCGTTGGCCAGACGTGATTTGAGGGAGTTCATCTCCTGGAGTGATTTAAAGAGGGGAAAGGCCAAGCAGCAAGAGCTTAGCTTCTACCTCACACCCTTGACAACAAATCGTGAAAACCTGGTTATGGCAGAGCTGTCTGGGTGAGATTTTGGCACTGTCAAACGTATCTACTATCTAGAAAGTAAGGTTAGTCTTTGCAAGAGACAATATTCAGAATAACAGGGAGGAGGTAGTGCATCTGCTATACTGCGTGCTTCACTGCAACAGATTTTGGTGACCAAAGGCCACTGTGACCTCACATCTGTCCCATTCTTGAGAACATATTATTTCCTGAATGCCTTGAGGTCACTTCTTCAAACTAAATACACTTAATATCTTTTATTAAATTCTTTCAAAGTCTACACTATATAGAATATACTGCATGATTCTGGACAAACATGCATATAAACGGCAACTTGACTTGACTGGATGGCGGAGGCACACAGTACAGCTGTGTGGCTGTAATGCTACTTTCTTCTTGTAATCATTCACCACTTTCATATGGGACATAAGAAGATTCATTAATGTGCTTCCAGTGTGTGTAATGTGTGTAACTGATGGAGGACAAAATCAGTCATAGTCCTGTGCAAAATGTGTTCCTTAGTTAAGCAGCCTGAGTCAAACAAATCAAGTTTACAGTACTATCTTCCAAAGTTACAGTGATTTTCCACAGACAGTTTACCCTCTGAGCTGCAGCAAGGGATCAGTAACATACATAAAGCATGTGATGTAGCTGTCATGGGGAGTCAACTCTCATTATTCTTAATTAACTCATTCTTTCTTCTTCTTCAAGTTTTGATCTCCTTAGTATATGCAAGATTAAAAAAAAACAACAACTCCAGCTTTGTTTTCAGTCAAGCCTGCAGGGAGCAGAGCAGGGCTTATGAGGCTCACTCCACATCCTGGACACCACGCCCGATTGTCTAAACACACATAGTCACTGTGGCTGGATATGTACTAACACTCCTGCATTGTGTACATGGGTGTTATCTTGCTATCATGAAGCACCTGCCTACAAAGACAGAGGGAGTGTCCATACATTTTATCATGTTTCAGACAGTGAATACTCTTCAGCCTTCTGGCCAGACTGACTGAACAAACACAAAATACCACAAGGCCAGTTTATCTTAACATGTTTTGGTTGTGTTGTTGATATACATAAAAGTAAACTGGAATATAATATATTACAACTGTATGGTAAACAGGACTACACATTGATCATATCTGATGTGACCTTCACACTGGTGGGGCTCTCACCTCGTCATGATTCTTCTTGAGGAAATAGAGCTCCTCCTTCAGGCTGTCCAGGTCTCCTCGCAGAGTGGCGATGATCTGGTCGTGGTCAGACTTCGCTCTCTTCAGTGCCTGACAGTCCCTCTCCACTGACTGGCACAAGGTGGCCTCTGCCTCCCATCTGTAGAAAAACAGTGGAGAATTAAATCAAGAAATAAGGACGTCATCAGCAGTTATGCACAGCACTTCTATTCTCCAACTCAGCACTGCCCCTCATACCATCTCTGAACTATTCATTACTATGCACCTTATTACACAGATTCAACCCAGAGACATTGTCCTCTGAGGGACTTTAAAGCTTTACTGACATATTTCTAATGATATCTGTGATTGTTTTAATTAGTGTGTGAGTGTGTCAGTAAATGTATTTTATTGCTATGATCTTAATGCCATTTGTTCTCAGGCTTGTCTTGCAAAAGTAATCTTGATCTAATGACATTTCCATAAACTAATAAAACTTAAACTAAACAGTCCCAGTTGTTGCTTTGCATGTATTAATCCACTAAAGTATTTGATTCTAGAGGGATCTATCACTCAGCAGATACTACAGGTACTTGTAGTACCTTGAAATTGGACCTAAGTACAGTACTGGAAGAAATTTACTTTTCCACCACTGATGATCAGACATGAGAATCATAAACAGCAGATAGTGCAACGCATGCAAACAAACACAGGATGTATGAAACCAGGTGCACACCTGTGAATAATACCATGCAAACTCTTACAAAGATCTGCATGTGAGGTACACACATGCTGCTAATGCCATAAATCACAGCTGAGTGAATTACTCCTTCACATCAGACCACAGAACATATCATCAACACACACAGAAAAACACCAGCAGCAGGGACATCTGGACTCTATCGTCTTTCCTCCAGCTTCACCTTATCAACTGTGGACTCCTCAAAAATGAATGTCTCTCTGACCTGCACAGTCTAGCTGAACCTGTGCTAATTTATGGCCTGAATGTTTGTCTCCTGCAGGTAACTTAGCACCGTGGGAATGGGGCTCTTATTTCTCAGCCTGACAGAAAGGTCATTTATTCACATTGCTTTCCAGTCTCGCACTCCCATGTGAACACTCACAGGCAAGCTAAAGAAAGGAACCTCTGTGTGCCACTCACTTGACCTTGAAGTCATCGGCTGCCAGCCTGGCGTTATCGATCTCCAGCATGATTCGGGCATTTTCCAGTGTTTTCTTTCTCACCTAAACAGGCAAACAGTCAGTTAACATTAGGCACGGAGCACAGCAGATATGCTTTTAATAATGATAATAATAATAATGCTGGTTTATTTCCTCAAAACATCAAAATCCAATTGCACTGCTACTTTTTTAATCTAATGTACTAATATGCTCAAATCACAGTTTGCTATTTGAAGTTTGAAGGTTGTCAACTTAGAGGATGGTTACATTTCTGCCAAACTAAAATGAGAGATACATTTCTGCTTGATTAAACAATCCTAAACTTAATTTGTGTTTAAACTCTTGCGCCTGAAGATAGTTTGTGCACATCCCAACATGATATTAGGTGCACAGGTGAAAAGGCAAGAGAAAAAGAGGAGCAAGAAGATGGTCCCAAAATGATAATGCATTAAGTACCATTAGAACATCTGAACACCTTTAGCAACTTGATTTAGGTAGTGCCCATCAATTATGTGAATATGTACAAATCAAATTAACAGTATTTGACAACATATCAAATTCTGGGGTGTACTCAATTGTTTCCTGAAAGAAAGTCCCAGACAAATGGACACTGACCTCCTGCCCAATGGCATGTGCCTGGGCCATCATCCCCTCAATGTCATGTCCTTTTGGAGCCCTCTCTATCATCAGCTGCTTGATCTTCACCTCCAGTTCAGTGTTGGACCTCTCCAGCAAGCGCACCTTGTCCAAGTAGATGGCCAGCCGGTCATTCAGGCCCTGCATGGTCTCTTTCTCACTGGCACCAACACCGAGGCCATTCAAGGAGAAGTTGGAGCTCAGCATGTTGAGGCCGTTGCCCACTGAGACAGAACGAGACAGAGGGAAGGTGCTGACCATGGACAGAGCAGAGACAGGAGCCTTGGAGCGCATGCTGCGTCCACTGTCCCTCACAGACATGCTGGAAAAGGAAGGCTGGCGTACAGAGTGGCTGCGCACAGAGAAGGTTGACGCCATGGTGTCCACTGCAGAAGAATTAGATGAATGTTAATTTTATCAGTGTTTTTGTATCATTGAGCAATAAAAAATCATGTATTTGACTGATTAAGATTGAAAGTTAATGCTTGATTGTGGAAACAGCAATCAAGAATGAGCCAATATGGACAAAAATGCCTCAAATAGCTAAAAAAGACATTTTGTCCCTGTCTTTAGTCATTTTACACCTTTTTGTGGTCCTTTTACTTCTGTGTTGTTGTTTTGCATATGTTAGTGGTTTTATGTCTAGTTTTGGGTCTCCCTATAATACAACATACCCTGTGAAGACTGGGCTCATTCAGTAAACCATCCAACTGTCTGGACTGTTACTAAATGAACCTTGTGGTGAGATTATTTGTTAGTGGTGATGATAGTTAAAATAAAAGGGCTAAATGCTGAACATTATGGTTTTGTTCTTGTCAGTAATTTATTTTTTAAAGTATACAGAACCACATGACAGAGCTACGAGATTTTGATACATTTAATCAGCTTTAAATCTGTTTTGTTATGTGTGAAATTGAAAACCTTATTTACACATTCATTGACATTAAATGTTTACAAATAAGAAGAGAATGAAACTAAACTACTTACATCAAGCTCAGTTCTCCAGCAGGTCTTCTTGTTTTGTGCTGCTAGGTCAGGTTTCGAGTGACTGTTGTTGCTGGAATAGATTTCACAGGTGAGTTTGGCTGCAGAGGCACAACTCTGTTTGCTGAGGTGGAGTCACAGTGGGTGTCCAATCCCAAAGCAACAAAGAGGAGGATGCAACTTGACACCTTGTGGAATGAAAAAATAACTGTGGTGCTTATGACTAAACTAGATGGTGTCGACAGTGTAAATGCAGTTTATTGTCTGCAGCATCACAAGTTTGCAAACAACAGCCGAAAGTTGAGACACTTGATTTATCTCCTTTAACACTGAAGCTAAGTCACTAAAGTGGCAGTTGTTTAAGGCTGGGCTAATTTTAATTACTTTATATACTGATATGATACATGACAGTTTATTTATTAATTACATTTTGCATTATTAGTAGGTTGAATCTGCAAAATAAATAAAGCATTAAAATAAAGGTAGTGGAGTAAAAAGTACAAAAGGTGCCTGCAAGAAAATTGAAATACTCAAATAAAATACCTCAGTACTTGAGTAAATGTACTTAGTTACTTTCCACAATGATTATTACTGGAAACACAGCTTGTAGGCAGCTTTAATGCTGTACAGGTGGAACAAATTTTAATGTATTGTATCTATAAAAGTACACTTTACTGATCATATATTTTAATGTAAAGTCTCAGTCTGCAAAGTAACTAGTAACTATAGCTATCAAATGTAGTGAAGTAAGGTATATTTTTCTCCAATCCTATACAGTGCACAAACTGAGCTATATTTAGCCACAGATACAATGGACCTCCTGAGGTCCTCGTCTGACCTGATTTTGTGAAACTTGGGAGCACAAACTGGTGCGGCACACAGGCTGGAAACAGGGATCCTGCTGTCTCCATAGTGATCCCATTAAGTGTGGAGACAATGAATTCAGAGCAATGTGAGAAGCCAGTTTCACCTGAGGACAGCTCAGAGGGATGAAAAACAGGAGGAAACAGGAACAATGCAGGGGCAGAATGGAAAGAAAGTGAAGACCCCTGAGAAATACACATAAAAATGCAGGGCGTAGGTCTTGCTGAACTGAAAACCTGTCTTATATTCACCTAGACAGACAGAAACTAGTATCAACTACCTCGAAGCCCCAGATGACAGTATATGTCATCCCCAGTTACTACATTATAAAATTCCTCTGGTAAGCATTGTTCTCTCTGTAGAATCAAATCACACAGCAACACTTTTCTGGTTTAGTCCTTTACATGACTCTCACTACACCCACCCACCCCTGCCTGACGCACACAATCATAAAAAACATGAAAAAGAACGGCAGGCATCAAGAGATGCCCTCCAAGCTATTGCGCTAATCCACCTCATCAAATCCATGTGACTTTAATAGCAAATAATGGAGATGCAATTTCAGGGTTGCAAGATGGTTGATTATATTCTGGATTCTTCAGTGTGGAAGGCTTATTTTGTGTCACTTATAATCCAAATACAGATTTAATCATCTATCTAGCTTCTAAACGGGGCAGACACAATAATATAAATACCTTAACTCTAACCAGCGCTGTCTACAATGAGGTTCAATCAACTGCAACAAAGTCCCAGAAAAAGGGAAATTACATTGTTGCCTTATAGCTGCAGGAGTATTGTGCTGGATTACATAATACTGTATATCACTGTGTCCAACAGCGAGGCAAACAACGCTCAACTCTCAATGCTACATTTGAAACAGTCATTCATTAGGAGATGGAACATTGTGAATTAATTTCAACAAACCTCTGCCAGTGTTATGCTTTCTCATACCTTTATCTCTGAGGTGTTACTGTTATAGTCAGTGTAAGACTGATTTTCACATTAGCAGTATGTAGCATGAATATGCCCCCACCTAGTGGATCAAAAATATACTACATTATTTACAGATCACTGCAATATCTGTCTGCAGACTACAACACAGTTGCAGCATGTGATGGGCCCAGTTCACCCCTATAATCCTCCCCCTACTAGAAAATGCCAAGCTATGCAGTAGCGTGGCCAGAGCACTCAGAGGGAGCACCCCCTGAACGCGCACAAAATCTAAGGCACTTTAAGCAGCAAATGCAGCAATATAATAAAAAACATACAAGAATATAATAAGAGAATGTATTCTGCATGGAAGCAGCATGTGCAGCAGTCAACACTCATTGTGCAATTATGCATGTGCAAACTGAGATTGTAAACAGTACATGACATATTTCCTGGTAATAAACTCCTCAGCTGTTTAGGGGTCTGATGGCGGAGGGAAAGAAAGAGTTTTTCAGTCTAGAGGTCCTGCATTTCACACTTCTGAACCTCCGGCCAGAGGGTAGGGAGGCGAACAGTCCGTGCTGGGGGTGGGTGGCATCTTTGAGGATGGAGGCAGCTTTCCTATGAACCCTGCAGTGGTAAATGTTTTGCAGAGAGGGCAGTGGAGTCCTGGTGATCTTCTCCGCAGTCTTTACCACTCTCTACGCCCACTGCTACTGTTGACCTCTGTCCTTTGGAGGTAACTGACTGGGGTCATCTGCAAAGGGAACAGCTGGAGGAGACAAACAGGACAACACAAAATGGTTAACATCTGTTTCATCCATGACATTAAAAAAGCATTAACTATGATTTTGCACTGTGTCTGATACTGTAAATGCAGTGAAAATGGGAAAGAATGTGGCACCTCTCATCTTTATTAAACCTGTCCATGACACTCTGTTGCCTATAGTCATTCTGTTGTTATTCCAGCTCCTCTACCCTGAGTTGTCAAAGTATGGTCCATACGTAAGCCCCGATTGCCACCTAGCTAAGGTCATAAGATGTGTTTTTTGAACTGAAAGTAGTAGAGTAGTCATGGAGGAGCTCCAGACTGAAGAGGTCTCAATCTTTTGCGCAGAGAGAGTGGGGCAAAGAAAGAACAAAAGCCAGGGTTAATGTCAGTTTGGCCTGAATGAGATGGAGAGGGTTAAAGCAGCCAAAGGGCTCAGACTTGATTCAGATGTTGTGTGCTTCATTCTGGATGTCTTAGCATCTAAAGCTGTGACATATCCAAATCCCTTCCTATCGTTCTTTGAGGAGCATAGTTTTTAAACATTTCAATGATTTTCTCACACATACAGTACTGTATGCTGGCAAACTGGTGGTCCTCGGCCCATCTTTGCCCCTAAAGGGCTCGGCCTTTTCTAGATGCCACTTTTGTACCAGATCATGATGTAGTCACCTGTTGACATCACCTGTTTTAAATGGAATCATCATTTGATTGTTTTACCTCATTACTGGCCCAGAAATGTAGCCACCCCGACTTTTTTTGGAATGTGTTGCAGCATCAGAATTGAAGTGAGTGTTTATTTTGAACAGAGAATAAAACTAAAGTATCACATCAAATAATGT